GCTGTCGTACGTGGCGGGCGCCAACTCTCGTTATGTGTCTTGCCGCAGCCTTTCCTTCCTGTCTTTTTTCCGCGGCGCCCGCCAGGTACCTTATGCGTCGAGTCGTGCTTACTTCATTTTTCATTCAAGTCTTCAACGGCTCACGCCACAATCGTAGGATTCAGGTCTGGTCAACGGAAGAGGAGGAGGAGGAAGAGGAGGAGGAGGAGGAGGAGGAGGAGGGGGAGGGGAATGAGGGGGAGGGGGAGAGGAAGGGTGAGGGGGAGGGGGAGGGAGGAACGGGTCGCGTCGCATGTGGTTGCCCCTGGCCCTGCAGGGATCCTCTCCCCCTGGCCGCCCCAATCGTTCGGCATCGTCCGGCCAGCTTTTGGAACGCTGGTTGGAGCGTCGGGCCGGACACCCGACGCGACGTTTGTCTTACGTCGGGTTTTGTTCTCGCTGTCGGCCTCGGGAGGCATGTTCTGGGGCCCGATGCTTTGAACATGAATGCGCGCTGGTGTGCGTAGCACAACTGTTTGTACTTGCGCGCAACATGTGTATTGTATAGATATCTAACGATATCTCTTCCACGCGAAGCTTCACATACGCATACAATAGCATTGATTGTCTCTCTCCTCTGTGAGACTACTAGCGCGGACGACTTCTGGCGAAACTACTGGCGCGTACGTCCCGATGCGAGCGCTGTTTGCTGCTGCTGTGAGCAGCCATCCACCCTTTTGTTTCTCGTTCTGCTGTTCCATAGCGCCTGGCGCGGAGCCAAACGCACTCTCGGGACAACATGGACACATTGGGGCGGCGAGGACGGCCGCTGAGTACGCGTGATTCTGAAATGAAGTGAGTTTGGACAGAAGTAGCCACTTTTGAATTGCGAGCGAGCAAGCGAGCGAGCAGTATGCGCGAGCGAGCACTGTTCGGGTCACTGCATCTGGTTTGTATGCACCACGCTGCGCGCATAAGTCAGTGGTGAGTGCGCCTTGCATCGCGGTGATCAGGGGGGCCTAAACAGTTATCCTGGCGAAGAACCAGCCATATGAAGTTGCGGGTACCGCAATTGTGGATATCTTTTTCGGTGGAGCTCCCTATGGGGCCACGAAGCGCTGCGCTGGGCGGGGGGGGGGGGGGGGAACGCATGGGGCGGTAGCACTGAGGCCGTCGGTGAAGCTTCTCCGTATGAGGCCACGAAGCGCTGCACTGGGTGGGTGAAAATACCAAATCAGGCGTGTGGGACGCATGCGGGCGGTCCCACTGGGGGCTTCGGTGGAGCTCCCTCTGGGGCCACGATACGTTGTACTGGGTGGGTGAAAATGCCAAATTGGGTGTGGGGGGCGCATACGGGCGGCCCCAGTGAGGGTTTCGGTGGGGTTCCCTGTGTGGCCACGAAGCGCTGTACTGGGTGGGTGGCAATGCCAAATTGGGTGTGGGGGACGCATGCGGGCGGTCCCAGCGGGGGCTCCCGTGGAGCTCCCTATGGGGCCACGATACGTTGTACTTGGTGGGTGAAAATGCTAAATTGGGCGTGGTGGCCGCACGCGGGAGGTCCCACTGGAGGCTTCGGTGGAGCTCCCTATGGGGCCACGAAATGCTGTGCTGGGTGGGTGACAGTGCCAAGTTGGTTGTGGGGAACGCATGCGGGCGGCCCCACTGGGGGCTTCAGTGGAGCTCCCTATGGGGCCACGAAGCGTTGTACTTGGTGGGTGGAAATGCCAAATTGGGCGTGGTGGCCGCATGCGGGCGGTACCACTGGGGGCTTCGGCGGAGCTCGCATGAGGGCGACGTCGCCGTCCGCCGTCGGCGTCAGGGCCTTGTTATCGAAGACGCGGGAGTCGGCGCGCAGCTCTTCGACGACCTCGCCGCGGCGCAGCGAGCCCACATCCTCGGCGACGACCCACGCGCGCACCTGCTGGGCAGGGGCCAGGGGGCCGCGGCCAGCCTGACTGGCGGCCGCTGCTGCGCGACGCCGCCCTCGATAGCTCGACCGCAGGGTGACAGAGGGGGCGTGCAACAAGGGGGTTGCAATGGGAGATGGATGGCCCATGTATGCTCAAGTATGTGATCGGTACGATTGGCATCCAATGTTGGCGGTCATGGAGGGCCAGCTGTGCCCGCGCTTTGCCCGCGCGGGCAAACGCGCCGTCCATCCGCGATCGTTCATGCGCGCGGGCGTTCTTACATATTGCGCGTGGCGCGGCGAAGTTGAGTGCAAGTGTGTCTTGATTGTGCGATTGATGATCGCGCATGTTCCCAAACGATGATTTGTCGACCCCCAAGACACATTCGGAATGGCCCCCCTGATTATCCCACCATGTGGTTTCACATGTTCCTTGTTTCTCAACATTTGATTTCGCATGCTGGCCCATGTCATACATATTGTTACACGCACTTCCAACGTGTGAATTGACATTCTGGTTTCCCAGAATGTGAATTCACATGTTGGCTTCCCCCTACTATGTGAATTCGCATGTTGCCCTGGCCGCCAAGGTCCCCCAAACTGAGGTGCAGTGCTCCGCGCGTCAGATTGGTGGGCAGATTCTAACATTCACCCCACCGCTTTGGTGCATTCCAGCCTTCTCCTGTTGCGCCCTTTGCGCGCGTTGCCTTCGTCGCCTTTCCCGAGCCCCCCGCCCCCTTTCTTCGTTCACTTCAGGTCTCGCGCGCGGGCGCGGGCGGGGAGTTTCAATTGGCCCCCCCGCCGAACACGGCAATCGAGGATGCAGCGCCCATGCATGGCTCATGAAGACACCATTGCTGGGGCCCTGCGCCCGACCCCCACTTTCACCTCCCAAACATGGTGAGTCAAGGGCCCTCCCAGTCCATTTCGATGGCACAGGGCGCCGCCGTCGCACGTTCGCGGGCGCCGTGACCCGCATGACCGATGATCTGCCAGAAGGGGGCCTGGACCTAACGGGCCCGCGCACGAGCTTGCGCAGGCTGCAAGGCGCGGCCCCCCTGCCCCAAACCCTGCGGCGCAGTCAGAGCACTGGAAGTAGCAGCCAAGGTCCAGGACGCAGACAGGTCACAGCATGAGCACGAGGCGCTGTCCAACATCTTGGAAGCGATGGCGCGCGTGGATCAGCTCAATATTCCAAGCCTTCGATGAGGTGACGTGATCGCGCGGAGGCCCCAGCTCATCGAGGATGCCCACGCTCGCAGTGAAGCGGGCGTCGCTGCCGACCACAGCGCCGCCGACCATTGCATGGGCTTGTCCGCGCGCAGGATGGGCGTTCCCATCGCCCCTGAGCTTCGCCAGCACGTCGCCGACAGCCTCCGCGGCGAGGCGCAGGTGGCCAAGTGGGCGGGGAAGGCCAAGGAGGAGCAGCGGCTGCGCAGGCAGCCGAATCAGAAAGGGCTAGAAGTAGGAGCACCCACCCTGAGGCGCGTCGGGCGCGGGGGTCGGACGCCCCGCGCCCGCGCGGAGGCCAGCGCACGTGAATGTGGCCATCGCGATCGCCTCGGTCGGGGTCCTATGACTGAGCAGCTTGGACCAGAAGCGCTTGAGTTTCGTCGCGCGCCACCTCGAGAGCTTTCACCTGCACCTCCCGCTCCGATCACTCCACCTACCTCCCCCGGGTCGTCGCGCCGCGCGCGGGGGAGGTCGGCTCGGCGCCGCTGCGTGGAGCAGTGGGTCGATGAGGCACTCGCCGTTTTGAATGAGATGAGTTGCGTGGGGGGGGGGGGCCAGAGACCCTGCGGCCATCGCTGGCGCAGCGCACCTCGCAGGAGGCATTGTTCGAGCTTGCCTCTTCACTCCCATCACCGACGCGCGCTTGCAGTTGCCGCGGGGCCGCCCAAGAGCCCCCGGCAAACGTGGTCGACTACGCCAGCGTCGGCCAGGGTGCCGCGGCGAGGCCGTGCAAGCGCTCTCTGGCGCAAATGCCAGCGGTTGGGGGAAGCTCTGATCCGCTGATCTCGGCGGCTGGTGAGCCGGAGAGGGAGTTGCCGCGGCGGCCAGCAGAGGCCATGCTGGCGGATTCGGACGACGCGGGCTGGAGGTCGGAGAAGATGAGCACCATCAAGCCCCGCATGGACACGACGGTGCGCTCGAATCGGATAATCATTCCTCAATGACTTGCACGGCGCCTCGCTCGTCGCATGAACCCCCCAGCCTCGTGAGATATGCGCGCCGTTGTTCGCGGCCGAGAAGAACGGCGACCTCCGTTTGGCAATGGGCTGCCGCGCCAGTAACTCCCAATTTCGGCCGCATCCGCATTTCGGCATGGAGACTGGGGGGGCCTGGTCGAGGAAAGAGACGCCCGATGGGGCGGGCGACCCTTTCTATTGCCATTCCAGGTGCGAAGAATTATTTTCACGCGATCCAGAACCACCCGGACCTCCAGCCCTATTTCTGCTCGCCGCCGATCTCGGTCGTCGAGGGGCTTCATGCAGGACCTGGGGGGCTTGAACGTTTCTGATTTCGCATGGCCTACGTTGCGACCTGTTCCGATGGGTCGGAGTTGGGCTTTCCATTTCGGCCAAGAGATTCTGGGTAATCTCATCGACGAGGTTATGAAAGGCGTGGGCCGCTACTCTCTGCTTCGTTCTGTGGGGCCCGTCCCAGACGTGGGTTCTGAACTACGCGTGATCCCGTATTGCGACGACCTCAACGTCAGCGGCCTGGATAAGGGGGGGCGCAGGTGGCCGAGGACACGGTCGTCGCTCACCTCAGGTAGCAGGGCTTCCCTGCGCATGAGGAGGAGGACGCTTCTACCAGGATAGTCTCTTTATGGCCGTTGTATTGGTGGAGTAAAGTGGACCCTCTACAATGAGCCTGAGCGGGCCGAACGGCTCGCCAAGTACTGCAAAGTGATGGATGGAGGTGCCCGCCTGTCTGGGCGCGCCGTTCAGAGGTAGGCCGGGCACGTCCTCGACTTTATCCGATTTAGAGGGTTGGCGCAGGCAGGCGACGGGCGTGGACGTCTCTACGCAGAGAGGCATGTTGGGTCGGGGGCCTCGTCGGAGTCTGCGCCGCTGACCTGAAGATGACCTGGGGCCCTCGGGTGAGAATGGCGGATGCACGCGAGACAGGGGCGGGCGTCGCCTTCGCCGAGTTTGTCGCCCGCAGAGTTGCGGCTGTGGGCCGCATCCTAGAACGGTGGCGCTACCGAGGCAATCGCCCGCTGTCACAGCTCGTCGTGCTGCCGTTGCAAAATTTGATGTCTTTTTCGACCTGGGCTTTGTGCACCCTGAGGGCCCTGGAGGTGCACTGGAGATGCTCGATGAGAGCCCGTGCTTCCAGGATGTCCCGGACGTGTTAGACCAGGCTCTTCGAAGGGGAGATGTTTTCACGAAGTTCAAGAATCTGAATGGGATGCCTGCCCTGGAAGCGCGGGCGACAGTCTTGGGAATTAGACATGGTCTTAGGTCCACTGAGGGCTGCCATGGGGGCCACCTGATCATGGGGGGCCAGCTGACTCGTCCGTCGCGCTTCGGCACTGGCCATTGCAAGATGCGCCAAGCGGCACTTCCGCTGTGTCCCTTCGGAGAAGAACAAAACTGATCGCCTCTCGCGGAAGTGCGCGGGGGGGGGGGGGGGGGCGAAAGCCGGGGCGGGTGGCTCCGCCCGCTCGGCCTCTCAGTCATGGCCTGACCAAGCCGAGGTCGTCTGCGAGCAGCGCCTGGGGGGCGACGGTCGCCGCCCACGCGTCGGGCGCCGCCTCCGGGCTCCACCGCGCGAGGCCCCGGGGGGGCCACGGCCGCCAGTGGGGCCCGCCTGCCGCGGAGGAGCGCCCGCCCACCACCTCGCGGCCGCTGCCAGCCGCGAGGAGAGGAGGTCCAAGAGGGCGGAGACCTTCGGCATCTCCCGGCCCCGCGCGGCGGACGGCCAGTTCTCCATTCTTGAGTCGCATGCCATCGCGAGCACGGCGGATGGCCTCTACAATGCCTGGTTCAAGGAGCTCCAGGATTTTGCGACCTCGATAGATCGCGCGCTGGACTCCGCCAAGAGCGCAGACGCAGCAATGGCGGACTTCGCGGACTACTTGTTTTTAGAAGGCCTCGAGGAGGCGGAGTTGCTCAAGGCGCGCGCCGCGGCGGTCTGGCATCTTGCGGATTTGCCCCCATGGGGAAAGCTGCGCCTGCCGCGCTTCCAGAGGGCGGTCAAGGGCTACACCAACCTCGACCCGGGCATCGCGACGCCCCCCGCCCCGTGGGAGATCACCTGCCGGATCGCGAGGCAGCTGGCAGAGGTCCTGAAGTCGGTCCTCGCCTACCTAGCGATCCCCCTGATGCTCGCGGCGCATCTGCGGTCGATCGACCCGCGCTCGCTAAAGGAGGAGGACCTCTGCCCACCGAGCGCGAGCAGCCAGTGGTGGGCTTGGAAACTCCACCCAGCCGAGCGCGGCGACAAGTCGAATATCGGCCTCTGCGACGAGAGCATCCTGCTCGACGCCTCGTACCTCCCAGATTTGGGCGAGTGCGTCGTCGCGCTCATGACAGGCGGCCCCGCCAGGAAACTGTTCAACATCGGGCCGTCAGCCCTCCTGTCGCTCTGGAAGGTAGCCATGCGCCAGCTGGGGTGCCCCGCCGGCGCGAAGTACGTGCCATGCCAGCTGAGGCATGGGGGCCCATCTCACGATCGGCTCGCGGGGTGCCGCAGGCTGCCAGAGAACCAGAGGCGCGGCCGCTGGCTGGCCGAGGGCGCGGTCAGACGCTACGAGGCGAGCGCCAGGGCGCAGCAGGAGTGGGCCCGCTCCTCGGCCGCCCAGCAGCTCGAGGCCCGCGAGGCAGTCGGCTGGATCCAGAGCCAGTTGGGCTCGCAGCCCCTCGGCTGCGCCAGGGGCCTGGCCCGCCGCGCTACGGCCTCGACCTCTATGCCGGCACCACGGGCATCAGCCAGGCGCTCGCGCGCACGGGCATCGACGGCTCGGCCTGGGACGCGCTCTTCAGTGTAAAAGCCGACCTCGCGGACCCGCAGAAAATGAAGCGGTTGGCCAGGCGAACGCCGCAGACCAACGTGGCCCAGCACAGGCGTCTCTTCGCAGCCAGCGGACGGAGACAGGGCCTGCCAGCGCGGTGCCTCGGCGCGTGGATCGCGATCGCCTGCTCGACGTGGTCCAGAGTCCGAGACCTGCCGCCAAGGCCCAGGATCAGAGATGATGGTGATAATTTGTTTGGTTTTACAGACCTCTCGCCTACTGACGGACGTGATGTAGAAATGGGCAATCGGATGATAGAGTATATGTGCATATTCCTGGGGGCCGTGCTCCCTCTCAGCCTCTATGTTGTTATTGAAAATCCTCGCCTGTCTCGTATCTGGTTTCATCCCACGTTGATTCGTTTATGGGAGAAGTTTGCGGGAGAGTTGTTTGTTTTGACCAGTGCGGCTTCGGCGCGTGCTGGAGGAAGTCAACAGGCCTGCTCGCGTGACTTGTTCTTGAGCTTGCGTCATACTCTCGCCGAGCTTCACAGATAGGGCTCACGTGCAACTTCATGGCAAGGACCCCTCAGGGAAGTGGCGCACTTCTGGCGCGCAGGAATATCCCAAGGATTTGTGCGAACAGGCGGCCAGCGCTTTTCAAGATGCTCTCGATAATCGTTTTGGAAGGGATGGACTGGCCCCCTGCCAACTGCGTGCGGGCTTCCCCCCAACACTTTTTGGAAGTGGGTGCGGGAGTATTTCCAGGTCTGTTTACGTGTCTCTCTTGCAAGTTTGCTCATTCGCCAAGCGCCGCCCTGGAAGAACCTGTGGCCTGGCAGGAAAATACAGAAGCGAAGCATGACACATGCTTGCAGGAGTATGTTGAGCCTTTGATTGACTGCCGTCCTAGTGGCTCAATGTTGTTGTATGCAATCATTGGGGCTCAAGTTTTTCTCTCGGCCCACCGTCCGTCCCCTCCCTCATCCAACATCTCTGTTTCAGCACTATTAGAATGTATCCTGGGAGTGTTCCCAGGTATGTCTGCGCGTCTCTCTCGCAAGCCTGCTCATTCGCCAAGCGCCGCCCTGAAAGAACCTGTAGCCTGGCAGGAAAATTGAGAAGCGACGCATCGATCTATTTATTCGTGTGTGTCCCAGGGCCCCTTCAGCAGGGCGTGCACGGGGACCAGCGCGTTGGGCCCGAAGAGCGGCTTCCGGACCAGTTTGGCCATATGGGCCTCGGAGCGGAATTTCTGGCATGTTTCGGACGGGGCCGGGACGAGGATAAGTCCGTTCTCGAAGGTTCTGGAAAGATCTCAGAGCGTCCCGGAACGCTCTGAGAAGGCCGCGGCTCCCGAGACATCTTCCAGAACCGCTGGCACTCAGGGATTTTCCATTTATCTTCGCCCGATGTTCTCATTGTCGTGGCCTCGCCGTAACGTTCGGAAAGATTCACGCGCCGCTTTCGGCATCATTCGGGCACAATTTCTGGCGCATCGCTCCGCGGGACTCGTGGAATAGTTAGCCTTGCCGCCTGCATCTCGCCGCCGCGCGCAGGAAGACGCCTCCGCCGCGGTCGAGCTGAACCCCGCGAACACTAAGGCCCGTGGGCCGACGCGGACGGAGAAAGGGAGGAAGGGTGAGGGTTATAGGATCGAGCGCTGAATGCGAGACTGCCGCTCGCACGTCACTCACACACATATATTTTCATATATATATATATATATATATATATATATATATATATATATCGCGCGGAAGCTCTACGAGTCTCCCGGCGGTAACCAAGGTTGACGGTTTATTGCCGGCGCCAAGTTCCGCAGCGCCAGTTGGCTAGTTGGCTCGAAAAATCTCGACGGAAGTTTTGTTGACTTTGGTCCAGGGGGCGTCTCGTCGCCGAGTCTGGGTTCTCCTCACGATTCTGGTTGAGGTCGGTGCCTACTTACCAAGGAGGAAGGGGAGGAAAGGGAGAGAGCAGTAAAGAGGAGAGGGAGAAGGGATGATCGAGAGAAGGAGGGAGGAGAGATGAGGAGAGATGAGAGATGAGGAGAGAGGAGGAGGAGGAGAAAGAGGAGGAGGGCCAGTCGTCTCTCTCAGGAGGAGGAGGAGGAGGAGGAGGAGGAGGAGAGGTGGAGCAGGATGATGCTGATGATGACGTTGATGGTGCTGATGATGCAGATGATGATGATGGTGATGATGATGATGATGATAATGATGATGAGTATGCTGATGATGCTGATGATGATGATGATGCGGATGATGATGCTGATGATGACGATCACGATGATGATGGTGATGATGCTGATGATAACGATGACCATGATGATGATGATGATGATGATGATGATGATGATGATGGTGATGGTGATGGTGATGGTGATGGTGATGGTGATGGTGATGGTGATGGTGATGGTGATGGTGATGACGATGATAATGACGACTCTGATGACACTGATGATCACGATGCTGATGATGCTTATCAGTATGATGCTGATGTCGATGGGGATGATGATGATGATGCTGATGATGATGATGATGATGCTGATGACGCTGACGATGCTGATGATGCTGACGATGCTGATTATAATGAGGAGGATGATGCTGGTGATGGTGATGCTGATGATGATGGTGATGATGATGATGGTGGTGATGATGATGATGGTGGGGATGATGATGATGCTGATGATGATGATGATCATCATCATCATGATGATGATGATGCTGATGATGATGATGATGCTGATGATGATGATGATGATGATGATGATGATGATTATGATGATGATGATGATGATGATGATGATGATGATGATGATGATGATGATGATGATGATGGTGGTGGTGATGATGATGGTGGTGATGATGGTGATGATGGTGATGATGATGATGATGATGATGATGATGATGATGATGATGATGATGATGATGATGATGATGATGATGATGCACTATAGAACGATTCTCGCCCACCAGCACCGGCACCGGCACCGGCACCGGCACCGGCACCGGCACCGGCACCGGCACCGGCACCGGCACCGGCACCGGCACCGGCACCGGGCACCGGCACCGGCACCGGCACCGGCACCGGCACCGGCACCGGCACCGGCACCGGCACCGGCACCGGCACCGGCATCGGCACCGGCACCGGCACGGGCACCAGCGCCGTCGCCGGCGCCAGCACCGGCACTGGCACCCGCACCCGCAACCGCACCGGCACCAGCCCTGGCACCGGCACCGGCACCGGCACCGGCGCCGGCGCCAGCACTGGCACCGGATGAAAAACATCATTGACATTGAACATCATGACATTTCCCAAACAGTGCTTGCATTTAGGGGGCCTTCTCTCTTCTTTCCTAGTATTAGCTGGGTCGTCTGAGGGGCGGTCTGGCGGCTGTCTCCTCCTCGCGGTTGCCGCCCTGTCGCCGCCCGTCGTCGTCTGGGCTTGAGGGGCGGTCTGGTTTTTCCGTCCTTGCCGTCGCCCCCCCTTGCTGCGTCGTCGCCGCCCGTCGTCTTGGCCTGAGGGTCGGTCTGGCGGTTCCTTGCTCGTTGCCGTCACCGTCCCGTCGCCGCCTCCTCGTCGCTGCCCTGTGCGCCCCCCCAGCGGCTGCAATCCAATCGGTTGCAAGCCAATCAAGTGCAAACCCAGTGGAATCGATTGCAGTCCAATCAATTGTAAAATTATGCAAACGCAGTTCCCCACATAAAAAAATTAAAGGAGAAGCTCATCGAACGAGTAAGTACGCACGAAAGGGCAGACGAAAGAAAGGAGGAGGGAGGACAGGTGCTCAGGAAACGAAGCCTTGTAAATAGTACGGGTTGTTGATGCCCTCTTCGTTTTGGCGGGGCCCCGCTGGAAGGGGGGAGGCCTACGAAACCTGGTAAAGAGTAATGCTGTCCGCGACCCTCCTCGTTCAAGCGAGTCCTCCTCCTCCTCCTCCTCGTCGTCCTGCTCCTCCTCGTCCTCCTCATCCTCGGCATCATCATCATCATCATCATCATCATCATCATCACCAGCATCATCGTCGTCATCATCAGCATCATCAGCAGCATCGTCGTCACCCCGTCGTCATCGTCGTCAGCATCAGCATCATCGTCATCATCATCATCATCATCAGTATCAACATCATCAACATCATCATCCTCATCGTCAGCATCATCGGCATCATCATATCCATCATCATCATCCTCATCATCGTCATCATCAGCATCATCATCATCGCCAGCGTCATCGTCATCATCATCGTCGTCGTCGCCACCATCGTCATCAGCATCATCATCATCATCAGCATCGTCATCATCATCATCATCACCATTAGCGTCCTTGGCATCATCATCGTCCGCGCCATCGTGGACGTCATGATCATCATCATCGTCGTCATCATCATCAACAGCACCAGCAACGTCAGCATCAGCAGCAGCATCGTCATCATCACCAGCATCAGCATCATCATCCTCGTCGTCGTCGCCATCGTTGTCATCATCGTCATCATCATCATCATCGTCATCATCATCAGCATCATCATCATAATCACCGTTATCGCCATCGTCATCGTCCATCACCATTATCGCCATCGTCATCGTCATCGTGAACAGCAGTATAACCATCGTCATCACCATCATCATGATGAAGCCTTCCTCATCGCAGAACTCCCCCTCCTCCTCACCCTCCTCAGTGGGAGGAGTAGGACGTGAGATGGATAGGTAATGTTCTCCCCTCCTCTTCACCCATGTCAGTGGGAGGGGCACGAAACCATTTAAATAGTATGGGTTTCCGATACCCTCCTCGCTCAGACGGGGCCTCCCTGGAGAGGTGATAGGGGCACGAAAACATGTAAATAACATGGGTTTCCGATACCCTCCTCGCTCAGGCGGGGCCTCCCTGGAGGGGTGGGAGGGGCACATCACCATGTAAACAGCATGGGTTTCCGATACCTTCCTCGCTCAGGCGGGGCGTCCTTGGAGAGGTGGGAAGGGCACGAAACCATGTAAATAGTATGGGTTTCCGATACCCTCCTTGCTCAGGCGGATGGAAAGGGCACGAAACCATGTAAATAGTATGGGTTTCCGATACCCTCCTCGCTCAGGCGGGGCCTGCCTGGAGGGGTGGGAGGAGCACGAAATGTAATCTGTATTCATTTCCGATACCCTCCTCGCCCAGGCAGGGCCTCCATGGAGAGGTGGGAAGGGCACGAAACCATGTAAATAGTACGGGTTCCCGATTCCCTCCTCGCTCAGGCGGGGCCTCCCTGGAGGGGAGGGAGGGGCACGAAGCCATGTAAATAGTATGGGTTTCCGATACTGTCCTCGCTCAGTCAGGCGGGGCCTCCCTGCTGGAGGGGTGGGATACCCTCCTCGCTCAGGCGGGGCCTCCCTGGAGAGGTGGGAAGGGCACGAAACCATGTAAATAGTATGGGTTTCCGTTACCCTCCTCGCTCAGGCGAGGCTTCCCTGGAGGGGCGGGAGTGGCAATGCTGGGAGGCGGGAGGCGGGAGGGAGAAAGAGAGGATGTTCTGGGAAAACAAGCACCCGCACCAGCACCGGCCACCGGCACCAGCACCGGCACCGGCACCGGCACCAGCACTGGCACCAGCACCGGCTACGGGCCACCGGCACCGGCCACCAGCACCGGCACCGGCACCGGCACCGGCACCGGCACTGGCACTGGCACCGGCACCGGCACCGGCACCGGCACCGGCACCGGCACCGGCACCTGCACCGGCACCGGCACCCGCACCCGCACCGGCACCGGCACTGGCACCGGCACCGGCACCGGCACCGGCACCGGCACCGGCACCGGCACCGGCACCGGCACCGGCACCGGCATCCGCACCCGCACCGGCACCGGCACCGGCACCGGCACCAGCACCGGCACCGGCACCACCGGCACCAGCACCGGCACCGACACCGGCACCGGCACCGGCACCGGCACCGGCACCGGCACCGGCACCGGCACCGGCACCGGCACCGGCACGGGCACCGGCACTTGCACCGGCACCGGCACCGGCACCCGCACCGGCACCGGCACCGGCACCGGCACCGGGGCAAGAATCGTTCATGCCTTTGATGATGATGATGATGATGATGATGATGATGATGGTGATGATGATGATGATGATGATGATGATGATGATGATGATGATGATGATGACGATGATGATGATGATGATGATGTGATGATGATGATGATTATGATGATGATGATGATGATGATGATGATGATTGATGATGATGATGATGATCATGATGATGATGATTGGTGATGATGATGAGATGATGATGTGATGATGAGATGATGTGATGATGATGATGATGATGAATGATGATATGATGGTGATGATGATGATGATGATGATGATGATGATGATGATGATATGATGATTATGATGATGATGATGATATGATGATGATGATGATGATTGATGATGATGATGATGATGATGATGATGATGATGATGATGATGATGATGATGATTGATTGATGATGATGATGATGATGATGATGATGATGATGATGATGATGATGATGATGACGATGACTGATGATGAGATGATATGATGATGATGATGATGAGATGATGATGATGATGATGATGATGATGATGATGATGATGATGATGATGATGATGATGATGATGATGATGATGATGATGATGATGATGATGATGATGATGATGATGATGATGATGATGATGATTGATGATGATGATGATGATGGGGATGATGATGATGAATGATGATGATGATGATGATGATGATGATGATGCTGATGATGATGATGATGGATGATGATGATGATATGATGATGAGGATGATGATGGATGGTGGTGGTGGTGGGTGGTGGTGGTGGTGGTGGTGGTGGTGGTGGTGGTGGTGGTGGTGGTGGTGGTGGTGGTGGTGGTGGTGGTGGTGGTGGTGGTGGTGATGATGATTATGATGATGATGACGCTGACGCTGACGCTGACGATGATGATGACGATGATGATGAGGAGGAGGAGGAGGAGGGAAATGACGAGGTTGGAGGAGGAGGAGGAGGAGGAGGAGGATAAGGTGGAGGAGCAAGGAGAAGGCGGAGAGAGGACACTATAGCCGAAAGGATTTGTTCGGCCTCAGAAGACTTTTGCGGGCTTCCAGAGAGGAGACTTCCTGGAGCCTCCAAAGCTTCCGGGGACTTCCTCCGCCTCCCGCCTTGTGTGGCGGAGACTGGAGACACGTCTGGCCTCCGTCGGTGTAGGCAGTCGTCGGCGTCGGCCTCCCCGTCCTCCTGCTGCCGGTGCTGCTCCTCCTGCTCCATGCCGCGCGCGCGTGGGAGCGACCGCGCGCGGGCGAGGGGGGGAACGAGAGAGGGGACCAGGGGAAGGGACGAGGAGGGAGGGAGGCTGGAGGAGGGAGAGTAGATGAGGTGGAGGAAGAGGAGGAGGAGGAGGAGGAGGAGGAGGAGGAGGAGGAGGAGGAGGAGGAGGAGGAGGAGAATAGCGGAAGAGGAGAAAGCGGAGCAGGGAGGGGGAGGCGGAGGAGAAGGAGGATGCACCCGGAGAGAGAAAGGAGGAGGGAGGAGGGAGGAGGGTAGGACGAGACAGGGTAAGTAGGGAGGAAAGAGGATGGATGGAGGAGGGGGGAGGGGGGGAAGGACAAGCTAGGTGCGCTAGCGTCACATCTGACGTTCTACCCCTCCCTCCCATCTCTTACCACGGCGTAGATCTACTATATCTATGGGCACAGTCGGATGTCGAGCAGGGTAATGACCCCAAGAGGGTACGAGATGGCTGGAAAAGCATGGCGTAGAAGAGCACGGCTGATCATAGCATGTCATAGCATTGCGTGGCACTGCGTAGCGAAGCATGGCATCGTACAGCAGTGCACAACACAGCATCGCCTTGCATGCCGCGGCATGGCATCGGATGACTCGAAGGGTAAGTGGCCCGTCTACGACAGGACAGGGCCTGCCCGGAATGCCGGCTCCATGTCCTCCGCAACCGTGCCTGCCCGATGTGAGCGCTTTCGTCTGCCAAGTGCCGTCCGGAGGCGCGGGAACGAGGCCAGCGTTGTAGCGGAATCACGATTTTGAATGACCGAAGCGCAGAGATGAGGGCGGCGCTGCAGCGGGAGCACCATTTTGGAATTAGCCTGACGAAGGACCCACCCATATGCAGCTGTGAGTACCGCAGTCGTGTCTATCATGTTCGATGAAGCTGCCTATGGGGCCCACGATCCTCGTGAGGGTGCGCCGATCTGGGGCGGGGCCGCCATGCGAACTTTCCCCTGGGGCCTTCGGTGGAGCTCCCTATGGGGCCACGATCCTCGTGAGGGGTGCGCCGATCTGGGGCGGGGCCGCCATGCGAACTTTCCCACTGGGGCCTTCCGTGGAGCTCCCGATGGGGCCACGATCCTCGTGAGGGGTGCGCCGAACTGGGGCGGGGCCGCCATGCGAACTTTCCCACTGGCGCTTTCGGTGGAGTTCCCTATGGGGCCACGATCCTCGTGAGGGTGCGCCGAACTGGGGCGGGGCCGCCATGCGAACTTTCCCACTGGGGCCTTCGGTGGAGCCCCATATGGGGCCACGAAGCGTGTGAGGGGTGCGCCGAACTGGGGCGGGGCCGTCATGCGAACTTTCCCACCGTGGCCTTCGGTGGAGCTCCCTATGGGGCCACGATCCTCGTGAGGGTGCGCCGAACTGGGGCGGGGCCGCCATGCGAACTTTCCCACTGGGGCCTTCGGTGGAGCCCCATATGGGGCCACGAAGCGTGTGAGGGGTGCGCCGAACTGGGGCGGGGCCGTCATGCGAACTTTCCCATTGGGGCCTTCGGTGGAGCTCCCTATGGGGCCACGAAGAGTGTGAGGGGTGTGCCGAAATTGGGCGGGGCCGCCAGGCGAACGTTCCCATTGGGGCCTCAGGTGGAGCTCCCTATAGGGCCACAGAACGTATGAGGGGTGCGCCGAAATGGGTGCGGTGCGGGGGAGGGAGGAGCAGTAGGAGGAGGAGGAGGAGGAGGAGGAGGAGGAGGAGGAGGAGGAGGAGGAGGACGAGGAGGACGAGGAGGAGAGGTTGGACGCGGGGCGCTGTCTCTTCAAAACGAGGACCCAACACCACAAGATGGTTGGGAATAACCAGAAACGACTCGAAACAGTCACCATAACAACAACAAGCAATGAAGTTCTGTGTGTAAGCAGAATACGCGGAGAGGACGGGACACCGGGGATGGGCTTTGGTCCAGATTCATGCTCTGTAGTCCCTGTGCCCCAAACTGGCCTCCAGATATCCAAACGGAGGAGACACCAGCAGCCACCAGCCGCCTCGAGCTTCTTCCCACGCCGGATCGGAGGCCTCCACAGAGAGGCCTCGGTCCCCGAGGATCTGGCCCCGCCACCCCTCCATCCCTCCCGAAGGTACCGCGGGCCAAGCAGTGACCCCCGACGGGGGGGATCCATCGACCCCCAGTCGCCCATTCATCGCCACTGGGCCTGCCTTCCTCCCACCCCGCAGGAGGATCGCGATGCCTCGCCACACAGGGGCCCTGTCGCTGATCTGGGCCGTGGGCGGGTCGCAAGGGCGAGCCACGGCTCCCTCCTCCTCCTCCTCTTCCGCCTCTTCCTCCCCCTCTGGCAGGGGGGGGAGGATGAGAGAGGAGAGAAGAGAAGAGAAAGGCAAGCTTGGTGCGCAAGCGTCATATCGGACGTCCTACCCTTCCTTCCCGTCCCTAGTACGACTGCGTATATCTCCTCTCTATTCGCACAGTCGGATGCCGAACAGGGCGCTGATACCGAGAGAGTACGCGATGCATGGTATAGCATGGCATAGAAGAGCACGACCACAGCCGACGTACGTCGTCGCGTCGAGAACGCGATTCATTTCGACCACAAGGTCAAAGGGAAACCAGAAATGACACCTGACGGGAATTGTAAATGGACGGTTTGGGAAACGGGAAGCGCAAAATGAGATCAGCGTTGCAGGGGGAGCACGATTTGGAAGTACAGAAGCCTTAGAAATGAGACCAGCGCTGCAGTAGGAACACGATTTGGAAGGACCAGAAGGGTGGAGCTGAAGCCAACGTTGCAGCAGGAACACGATTTGGAAGAACCGAAACAATGAAATGAGGTCAGCGCTGCGGTGGGCACGGATTTGGAAGGACTTAGAACTGGAAAACGGAGCCAACGTTGCAACGGGAGCATTATTCTGAAAGGACTGAAAACGTACGGATGGCAAATTCACATATGAATTGTCAATTCGGCGGCATCGTGTGTGTGTGTGTAAAGAAAAGTACGCGGAGGAGGCCAGGACACCTCACCCGCGTCCTCGGGGGAGAAAGGAGAGTAGTATGCATATCGTGTAATCGTAGAGGGGAGAGGAGAGAGGAGGAGGGGGAGGAGGAGGAGGAGGAGGAGGAGGAGGAGGAGAAGGAGGAAGAGGAGGAGAAGGAGTAGGAGGAGGAGGAGGAGGAGGGGGAGGAGGAACTGCCGTGGACGGGGGAGGGAGGGCCCAACGCAGCGCGACGGCGGCGGCAGGCGCGGTACCGCCGCGCCATCGCGCGGACGGAGATGGGCCGGGCCGAGGAGGCGATGCGGGACGCGGAGCAGGCGGGCCCCCCCCCGCTCCGCCCCAGGGCCGGCGGCGGAGTCTCTGCGATGAGTGCTGCCGCACATGTGGTGGCTCCCTCGCTTTCTCTTCTTACAGTCGGGGCCCTGAAGAAGGAACCCTTTTCGTTGGTGAGGGGCTCCGTGTTCCTCAAGTTTTTCGCAGCTGGCCTTGGATTTTCCTCAGGTTTTCGATACGAAATCGAAGTTCAACTTATGGAAAATAGGGGCCTCGTTCCTTATTTAGGGTTCCTTAGGTCAACGCCCCGACTGTGTGGCTCCCTCGCGTTCTCTTCTTCGTGCCTCGCTGTGTGTTCGGCGCTCCGCGCCGCTGCTCGACCGCCGTCTGGCCCTCTGGCGGCCGCTGATTGAAACAAGTGCCAGAATTCCCCCCTTAAGGCCCCTCCTGGATTTCGAGGAGGAGGAAGAGGAGGAGGAGGAGGGGGAGGAGGAGAAGGATGTGGGGAGGAGGAGGAGGAGGAGGAGGAGGAGGAGGAGGTGGAAGGGGCGGGGGAGGAGGAGGAGAAGGAGGAGGAGGAGGAGAATGAGGATGAGGAAGATGAGGCGGAGGAGGAGGCAGAAAGGAAGGAGGAGGTACAGGAGGGAGAGGATGAGGATAGAAGGATGGAGGGCAGGAAGGCTGAGCAGCCAGCTTGTGCTTTTTTGTTTCAGGAGGGGGGTGAGGACCGCTCGCGAGGCCCCTTCCTCCTCAGCAGCGCGAGATGCGGGTCGCCTCGCCCAGTGGGAGGCCCGCTCTCGAGCGGGCGCGGGGACCGCCGCTGCGAGGAGGAGGCGAGCGGCGGAGAGGCGGCAGAAACATGTCCTCCGCCGCCCCTTGCTTCTCATCTTCTTCCTCTTCTCCCCCCATCAAGCCCTTCTTCTCCAAGAGTAGGGAGGGATCGGGAGGAAACTGGGTGGGATGGGGAGGGATAGGGAGGGATAGGAAGGGATAGGTAAGAGGGATGGGGAGGGATGGGGGGGGGGATAGGGAGGGATAGGGAGGGATAGGGAGGGATAAAGACAGATAGGGAGAGATTGGGATGGATACGGAGGTATAGGGGGGGACGGGGAGAGATAGGGAAGGATGGGGGGGATAGGGAGGGATAGGGAAGGATCGGGGGATGATGAGGAGGAGAAGGTCGATGATGATGGTGATGATGTTTTTGCGCGCCAGCGTTGGCTCAGCTTCTTAACGGCTGCGGGGGCGACGACCCCGAACATAACTTCATTGAAAAATCTGTCCTGGCGAAATTTGCCGTCGCGTGTTTCCGTGGTCGTGTATAGCCGTCGATGTGTTTCGGCGCGCGTCGGAAAGGGCGACTTGCTTTGAGAAAGGGCCGACCAAGTGGCCCATGTGGACACGTGTTTCGTTTATTATGAGTGTCCTCGACGATTCTCTTGCTTTCGGTTGTGTCGTTGATGAGTGTCCTCGCCGATTCTCTTGCTTTCAGTTGTGTCGCCGCTGATCGTCTTGACCGCGGAAGTACAAAACGAAGTGTCGCCGCTGATCGTCTTGACTTTCCGCCCCCCTACAGTTCTGACCCCTCGGGCGCACTCAAGTCGTACACAAGGAACTTTTGGTTTGGCTGGCCATGGCGGCAGACAGGTCGATGCCAGAAGAGAACCAAGGAACGAAGTGCTGAACGCCGCTCCTGTGGCCCACGCGCTGCCCTCAACGGAGCGAGGCGCGCAGCGAATGGCGGCGAGGAAGCAGGGGCGACACAGGATACACGTCTTGCACCCCGCGATGGCTGAGGAGGAGGTCGCACCCCTCCCCCAGCAGGCCCCTTCGGAGCTAAGCGGACCGGTTTGCTATCCTTCGGAAAAGACAAGCACGACAAACATAAATTGTTTGGGTTGCGCGCGATTTTTTTGGATCGGGCCCATTGCGGCGTATTCGGCGCCGCCTTTGGCTCGCTCCGCTCGCAAGCGAGGGGGGTCCAGCTCCGATGCAAGAAACCCGTGCGGAAATCCGCAAGTTTATGTTTATGCAGTTATGTTCTTTTTCTACTGTTACCCCTGATCGGTGGGTCTGGGGGGAGGGCCCCCCCTGGAGGCCGAATTGCTGCGGAGATCCTCCGTTGTGCGTGTTGGAGGCCTGGCTTATCCAGCTTTCCCGCTCGGCAGACGCAGGGCCACACAGGGCAATCCACGCCGCGAAGCGGGTGCGCAAACAGCTGGTGCACACATCGAATCAGAACACAAAGTGCAAAATGTTCCGTGCGGGTTTTAGGATCGGCGCTTGCCCCCCTTGGCGGCGCCTCCAGCGCAGCGTTTGGCGCGCTCCGCGCGCCAGGGGGGCGGGTCAGCGCCAGTTCAAGAAACTTGCGCGAAGCTCCGACAATTCATATGTATGCCGCTTTTTCTTCTTCCGAAAAACCAGTGCAGCGTCCAACAGCAGTTCCGATTCATTCAGAACTGGATTCGCTATCGGCGTCGCCGCGATCGTTGTCCATTTGGGGCACAAGCTCGCCTGCCTCACAAGCATTGTGGAGAAAACTCGGTGTTGGGCATCATGCCCAGCTTTTCCATGCCCATTCTTGAATAGGAGATCGATAACAGGATTGAATTACCCCAGAATTGTTTCGTCGAGTCTGTGATCGAATACGCAGATCACCCGTAGATCTACAAGCATTATACGTGTCCTTGTTTGTGGACTCGACGAACAGTTTTTTCGGCGGTAGATCAATGATATTGTCGATCTCCTACTCGAATTTCGGGTGTCCACATGCATCGGCTTTCCAGCCGCCACAGGACCTCGGAACTCGGACCCCGTCTGGGCGGCCCCCGCGCGAGGGCCCCCCCCGGTGCCAGGTGCTCTCGGAGCTGAACGGAGACGACGACAACCGGCACGACGTCGTGGCCCTCCGCGAAAGGATCTTGCGGCAGCAGGTTGCTCCAGACTCTCTCTGCCTGTCTGCTTGTCTTTAGCACCTTTTCATATGTCTGTTCTGTCTCGGGTTCTTTCTGGGTTCCCTCGAGTAGTTGGAGTAGTGGCAGCAGTCGTAGTGGCAGTGCTAATGGTAATTCCAATAACTGATGGGAGTTCGGACTACAACCGCTCGTGCTCTTGAACCAATTTGTTGTGGCAGCATTGGTAGTAGACATCTTTGTTGCGGCGTTCTCAGCTCTCCACGGTTCGCGTATCCCCATTAGCCCGTTCAGAGACATTGCCCATGAGCGTTGATGGGAGAAGGGGCGTAGATACATATAGACACATGTAGTGAAACCAAGTTGGCAGCCATGATGAATAGAGGGATGTCTGGGGGTAAGGGGGTGGCCTTGGAGGGCCTCTTCGGGCCATCCCTGGGGCCCGCGAGGGAGCGAAGGGAGGAGGGGGAGGAGGAGGAGGAGAAGGAGGAGGAGGAGGAGGCGGAGGAGGAGGAGGACCAGTGTAAACCCAAGAGTCATCAACGATGTTGGAATAAACCCTCCCTCCAAGGTCCCTCGTCATGGGCCCCTACAAGGGTTTATTTCCACTTAGGGAACTGCCTCGTTGGAAGACAACCGTTTGAAGACCCTGAACCATGCTAAAACATTACTCTCAGGATTCCAACGCCACGGATCAACCTGATTGTTGCGTCTTGACGATTGTGAATCGTGCGAGAACGCCATCCTTGTGACTTCAACACCGCGAATCGGCGCACCTGTTGCACCCTCATAGCCATGAACGGGTCCAAAACACTAATTATGGTACGTTCGTTGACCATGGGCATCATTGAAATCCTTGCAACTGTCCAGAAAGTTACGTGCGCGGCGCTAAGGCGAGAGCCACATATTGAAACCCACCCGCCCTGAATCCGTGAAACCCTTGCAAATTGTGAAAGCGAATGTGCGTGGTGCTGACGCGAGAGCCACATGTTGAAAACCACCCGCCTTGAATCCGTAAACCTCTTGCAGTTTTGTAGGACGAATGTGCGTGGTGCTGAGGCGAGAGCCACATGTTGAAAACCACCCGCACTCCATATGTGGAATTGTTGCAAACTTTCAGCTTCAGGGTTCAGAAGTGGTGAGGAAGTCTCAGGCGAAACGCCAGGAGTTATGCAAAAGGAAAAGGAATGGCGGCGGAGGAGGAGGAGGAGGAGGATAAGAAGACAAACCGCCTCTTGGGGCCCTCTGTGGGGCGCTCTTGGGGCCGTGGGGCTCTCTTTGGAGCCCTGGAGGGCCTTTTAGGGCAATATTGGAGGCTATCGATCAAAGGAGAAGGTCCTGAGTTTCTCCCCCCCCAGATCCATCACGATCGTCTCTTGGGGCGCTCGTAGGCCCCTCTTGGGGCCGTCTGTAGGGCCTCTTGGGCCCCTCTTGGGCCACCTTGTGGCCGTCTCGAGGCCTCAAAAGCGCATCCGAAGCGAAAAGGCGAGAAGGCACATCATTGATTGTCCATAGGTGCTTGAAGGATCTTGGCCTCTTGGGGGGGGGTCCTGAGGGGGGCTCCGAGAGCACTTGGAACCGTCTTGTGGCCCTCGTCGGGTTTCTTGGTGGTGTGTCGGAAGCTACCTTGAACCATCATCGGCTATCTTGAGCCGCTTTAGAAGCCATCTTGGAGCATCAGATGCCCTCTTGAAGCCATCTTGGGCCATCTTGGACGCTGTAACCCCTCGCGACCCCCTGAGAAAATGTCAGGGAAAAGGGGGTACCCCTCCCAGAAGGGAAGAGGATTTTGGAAGAGGAGAAATCGCTAGACCACCTTCGCCCACAGGGCTGGCGGGATGTAATCCCTAGAATTTGTAGGCGTCGGCGGAGGCGTCGCCTCCGCCATCGGTGGATGCTCCTGACGACACGGATCGGAGCGCTTGCATTGTCAGCAGCGGCATGCTAGATTACTGCACGGCAGCTTTCCCTCAGTAGCGTGCCACATGGAAAGCGATTGTTCATGGAACCGCCACGCTGTTGCCCACAGTGCCCGGAATTGATCACGTCATCATCCTCTGTGATACAAGCTCTAGGCCTCCCAGAAGGGGTCAGATGGGGTCGAAGGATCGGTCCGCATTGCCGATGCGGCTCGATGCGGAGCCCAAGTTTCTTCATGCCGGTGGCGCCGATACGTCGCAAACGTCGCGGATGTAACGCCGATACATCGGCGATGCATCGCCGATGTATCGACGGTGCGGTGCAGTCCTCCGACCCCGTCTACTCGGACTCCATCCAGGAGGCCTCTTAACGCATTGCTCCATATTGGGATGATTCGCAACCGCCCGCATGACAAGCAACGTCGCTGCCCCATCATCAGTAACCGCATTGGCTTAGGAGCTGCTGGCTCAGGCAGTTTTTCAAGTTGCTGGCCGTTCTGTCTCGGCACTTCCTCCTGATCTCCCTGTATGTCAATGCCCGCTTCAACGGACGCAGCCAGCCTGGACTCTAAGCCGCAGGCACGTGAACATGTGCGCGTGGCTGCCAGTGATGAACAATCCATCTCAACGCCGCTGGCTGCGGTCCAATATCGGTCCGCGATCATGGAGAAGGTACCGACATCAGAGGAGATCGACATGGTGAAGTCGCGGACGGCCTTGCCATGGCACCGCGCCAACTCCACCTCAGTGCCCGTCTACCACGCCTCACGGACAGCGGTCTTCGTCTCGACGGCCAAGAGGACCGCATTGTTTCCGGAGGGGCAGCCTGAGGTCGACTTCGTGGAAGAGCACCCGGGAACCAACAGCGCAAGCACCGCCGACGCGGTGACTGCAGCAGCTCCGCCAGGGTTAGCCTCCTTTTTTTCTGGCCGAATGCTGGGCCGAGTATGAGAGGATTCCTGCTTTCTCATTGTTGACGACGCCTATAGCGCAACCAAGCCGCCCCGCCCCCCACACCTTTGGGAAACGCTTATGTGGTCCTATGGTCAAACGTTGGACCAAAGTCTGGCTGAGGAACACGCCTGGGGGAGGAAGACAGGAGGACGAGGAAGCGGAGGGGGACAAGGGACGAGGATGACGGGGAGCAGGAGGAGGAGGAGGTGGAGGAGGAGGAAGAGGATAGAGATGATAATGATGAGGATGAGGAGGCCTCTTGTGGGACTCTTGGGCTCTCTTCGGGCATCCTGGGGACTTCCTGGGGGCCTCCTCTGGGGGGGCGTCTTGAGGGGCTTCCTGGGCCGTCTTAGGGACTGGAGGTCTCGTCTGTACACTTGGTCATCTGGGAGCGTCTTGAGGGCATATTCGGCCTCCGGGGGGGGGAGGGGGGGGGCTCTTCGGGGTTACATCTGGCAGCATTGGGGGGCTTTCCAAAAGAGCCTCTGCGGATCATCTTGGGGACTCTTGGGGCATCTTGGGGCCAACTTGGAGCCTTCGTGAGCCATCTTGGCGCCGTCCTGACGCCATCTCAGGACGTCTTGGGGTCTCGGGCAATCGCCGTGGGCCCTCTCGGGGCGCTCCTTGAGGCATATTCGGCTATCTTGGCTGCCTGGTGGCGCAACGATAGGGATCCTGGGGCGACCTGGAGCGGCCATGGGGCTGAGGGGCACCCCCTGACTTTTTGTCTCAAAGCAGCGGCCCCCCTTGGTACATAACGGAGAGAAGACAGCACCGCAGAGTCGGAGGTCAGGATGCAAGAGACGGGAAGAGAAAGATGCTGATGGCAAGGACGGCGCCACGGCCTGCCTGCCGCCCCCCCGAGAGGGGCTGGTGGAGCCTCGCCCTGTCTTTTTGTTGCCCGGTCACGCCTACCATAAACTCAGGTCGAACATTCAAGGCCTCTCAGACGGGGTCCCAGCAGATGGGTGTCGGGGGATCGCGCCGCATCGCCGGTACATCGGCGGCGATACGGCTCGATGTGGAGCCCGATCTTCTCCACGCCGGCGGCGCCGATGCATCGCAAACGTCGCCCATGCAGCGACGATGCATCGGCGATGCAACGGCGATGCGGCCAGATCCTCCGACCCCATCTGCTCGGACCCCATCTGAGAGGCCTCTAAACGTGTCCCTGAGTAAGCGCCACCAGAGCGCGATCAGTAGGGTGGCACGCTAGGGGCACGGAGCTTGCAGCGGCCAGCGCACCACACTGCGGCGTGGCAAGAGAATCAGCGCTCTCGCCATCCCCGTGCTCGTCGAAGTCGCCAGGTCCGTCTTCCAGCCTCCCCGTCGCTCATTGGCTTGTTTGCCACCACCACCACTAGAAGTTGGGGAGGGGAAGAAGGTGGAGGATGAGGAGGAGGACGAAGAGGAGGATGAGGATGAGGATGACCCCCTCCCCCTCCCACTTGTGGTGGTGGCGGTGGAAAACGAGCCCACCAGTCGCGGTCGTGTGAGCACCGCTCGGAGGAGGACTTTCGCCCGTCGCTGGCTCCTCCAGCTCCGGACGGGCGCACGGGCGGAGCGGGAGGGCACGGGGTGGTGCGCGACGGCGTGGGACGGGACGAGGCGGGGCTCGGGTCGCAGGCAGCGCGAAGGTAGCCGCGCTGCGAGCGCCGCGGTCGGCGCCCAGGACGCGTGAGCGTCCCCCGGGGGGAGTCCTGCGCGAGAGCGCGGGGGTGATCTGATCGCGCTTCGCGGAAGTGGGCCCAAGGCGGGGATGCATCCCCAGACACGATCGCGTCGTATTGAAAAAGATCCGGACGGGAGGTTTGTGAGTATTTTCGGCCCCGGGGGGCTTTCACCGGGCCTCGGGACCGTCAAAGGACGACTCAGGACGAAAGACCGGCCCCGGGGAAAGGTTCGGATAGGACCTTCCAGGGACGCCGCCCTGAAAAAATTAGCCTGGCGAAGGACCCAATCATATGCAGTTGTGAATACCGCAATTGTGCTGGGTGGTGGAGGACGCATGTGGGCGGTGCCAGTGGGACTTTCGGTGGAGCCCCCCTTAAGGGGCCACGAAGCGCTGTACTGGGTGGGTGAAACGCAGGGAGCAAGGGCTGTGCTGCGTGGTGGCGGACGCATGCGGGCGGTGCCACATGTACCTTCGGTGGAGCTCCCTATGGGGCTACGAAGCGTTGTACTGGGTGGGTGAAACGCAGGGAGCAAGGGCTGTGCAGGGTGGTGGCGGACGCATGCGGGCGGTGCCACTGGGACCTTCGGTGGAGCTCCCTATGGGGCTACGAAGCGTTGTTCTGGGTGGGTGAAACGCAGGGAGCAAGGGCTGTGCTGGGTGGTGGCGGACGCATGCGGGCGGTGCCACTGGGACCTTCGGTGGAGCCCCCTATGGGGCCACGAAACGTGCGAGGGGTGTGCCAGAATGGGTTGTGGAGCCGCATGCGAGCGCAGCCACTGGGGCCTTCGGTGGAGCTCCCTATGGAGCCACGAAGTGTATGAGGGGTGTGCCGAAATGGGGGGTGGAGCCGCATGCGAGCGCAGCCACTGGAGCGTTCGGTGGAGCTCCCTATAGGGCCACGAAACGTGTGAGGGGCGTGCCGAAAAAAAACTGTGGAACCGCATTCGAGCGCAGCCACTGGGGCCTTCGGTGGAGCTCTCTATGGGGGCCACGAAACGTGTGAGGGGTGTGCCAGAACGGGGTGTGGAGCCGCATGCGAGCGCAGCCACTGGGGCCTTCGGTGGAGCTCCCTATGGAGCCACGAAGCGTGTGAGGGGTGTGCCGAAATGGGGGGCGGAACCGCATGCGAGCGCAGCCACTGGAGCGTTCGGTGGAGCTCCCTATGGGGCCACGAAACGTGTGAGGGGTGTGCCGACATGGGGGGGGGAGCCGCATGCGAACGCAGCCACTGGGGCCTTCGGTGGAGCTCCCTATGGGGCCACGAAGCATGTGAGGGGTGTGCCAGAATTGGGGGTGTAACCGCATGCGAGCGCAGCCACTGGGGCCTTCGGTGGAGCTCCCTATGGGGCCACGAAACGTGTGAGGGGTGTGCCAGAATGGGGGGCGGAACCGCATGCGAGCGCAGCCACTAGGGTCTTCGGTGGAGCTCCCTATGGGGCCACGAAGCGTGTGAGGGGTGTGCCAGAATGGGGGGTGGGAGGGGGAGGAGGGAGGAGGGGAGGAGGAGGAGGAGAGAGGAGAGGAGGAACGCGGGGCACAGTCTCTTCAAAACGAGGACCCAACACCACAGGATGGTTGGGAAATGCCCTGGCGAAGGACCCAACCATATGCAGTTGTGAAAACCATCTTCGCCCGCGTTCCCTACGTGGCCATGGCGCCCCGCTGGAACCCGACATGCTCAGGAACACGTTCGCGGCTTCGCGGGCGCCGACGACGACGAGGACGTTGTCCCTCTGATCGAGGAGCAGAAACAGGAGAGGACTTTGAGAGCCATGAGGGAGGAGGTGGCGTTGCACGTCGACAAGGCGGAGTACGACGCCCAGGCGCGGTTGCTGAAGCAGCACAATTGTGGGGCCACGATCCTCGTGAAGGGTGTGCCGCAATGGCCCGGGGCCGCCATGCGAACCCTGCCACCGGCGCCTTCGGTGGAGTTCTTGCGGGGCCACGATCCTCGTGGGGGGTGTGACGAATTGCCCCGAGGCCGCCATGCGAACCTTGCCACGGGCGCCTTCGGTAGAGCTCCCTATGGGGCCACGACCCTCGTGAGGGGTGTGCCGAAATGGCCCGCGGCCGCCGTGCGAACCCTGCCACTGGGGCCTTCGGCGAAGCTCCGCGTGTGGCCACGATCCTCGTGAGGGGTGCGCCGAAATGGCCCGAGGCCGCCCCGCGAACCCTGCCACGAGACCTTCGGTAGAGCTCCCTGCGGCGCCAGGATCCTTGTGACGGGGTGCGCCGAAATGGCCCGAGGCCGCCATGCGAACCCTGCCACTGGCGCTTTCGCTGGAGTTCCTTACGGTGCCAGGATCATCGTGACGGGGTGTGCCGAAATGGCCCGAGACCGCCGCGCGAACCCTGCCACTGGCGCCTTCGGCTGAGCTTCCTATGGCGCCACGATCCTCGTGAAGGTTGTGCTGGAATGGCCCCTAGGCCGCCGCGCGAACCCTGCCGCTGGGGGCCTTCGCTGGAGCTCCCTACGGGGCCACGATCCTCGTGAGGGGCGTGCCGAAATGGCCCGAGCGCGCCATGTGAACCCTGCCACGGGGGGCCTTCGGTAGAGCTCCCTACGGGGCCACGATCTTCGCGACGGGGTGTGCCGACATGGCCCGAGGCCGCCGTGCGAACCCCGCCACTGGCGCCTTCGGTGAAGCTCTCTACGTGGCCACGATCTTCGTGAGGGGTGTGCCGAAATGGCCCGAGGCCGCCATGCAAACCCTGCCACTCGCGCCTTCGGTGGAGCTCCGCATGTGGCCACGATCATCGTGAGGGGTGTGCTGAAATGGCCTGAGGCCGCCATGCGAACCCTGCCACGAGGACCTTCGGTAGAGCTCCCCATGGGGCCACGATCCTCGCAAGGGGTGTGCCGAAATTGCCCGAGGCCGCCATGCGAACCCTGCCACTGGAGCCGTCGGTGGAACTCCGTGTAGGGCCACGATCTTCGTGAGGGGTGTACCGAAATGGCCCGAGGCCGCCAACCGAACCCTGCCATTGGGGCCCTCGGTGGGACTCCTATGGGGCCACGAAGTGTGTACTGGGTGGGTGGAACGCAGGCGGGAAGGAGGAGGAGGAGGAGGAGGAGGACGAGGAGGAGGACGAGGAGGAAAACGAAACGGGAGGGACGCGGGGCGCTGTCTCTTCAAAACGGGGACCCAACACAGGGTGGTTGGGAATCAGGATTTCGCACGTTTGGGTCCACAGCTTCCGCGCGGGAGGCCGAGCCACCTGGACCCCAGGGGGCGGGGAACGCGTGGAGATACGTGGGCCCCCCCGGGGGCCTACGGTGTCGACATCCGCCGTCCCTCTTCGGGAGCCCAGGGCATCGCTC